TTTGACTTCCTGTAATGACAGAGTAAACCACGACAGCATTCACTAAACTATAGGGGGTTTTTTTCTGTTCTGGGTTAACTTATATTTATTTCTCTTCAAGGAAATATGTGGGTTTTCCTATTTTGGAAACATGTATAAAATAAGATAAAAATGACCAGAAGCATGCATCAGTATCATCTTGGAAATCTAAAAATTATTATACTTTGTAAATTTGTTTCTCAGGAATACAAACTTTGAAGTAAAGAAAAAGATACTATTTTTGTCTTACTTACCTTACTGACAGGATCCTGCTGTTGTTCATTTTTAGCTGCACTAATCCAGGCAAGTAGACACCTGCAAGAAAATTAGTTAAACAAAACTATTTTTCTCATTTTCATGTAACACTGGTGTCATTTTAACATGGTTTCGTTCTTATCACCTGATTTATTTGCTAATCAGATGTTCAGCATCATTTAAGTAAAAGAAAGCGTCCCTGAAGTGGCAGGTAAAACATGACTCATACATGTACAGACAGTGTTTGTCATGCCTTACACAATCTAGGATTTTTTCTGAGGACAAAGCTCAGTCATAGTAAATATATCCCCCTACCATTATCTAATGATGGCTGGCACACCTGTGAGGTAATCAGGTGTGGAAATTTATGACTGTCTGCTCGTTCTGTGTTGTGATTATTACAAGTATCTGTTATGAATCATTACTGTAAATTGTGTTAACAGTTTCTCATTGCTCGTTAGTTTAACTGAACTTAAATTAGATAAAAGTTACTGTATTTTTGTAGCCTTGGCTACACAAAGAAAACAGTAACACCACTGATGCTGACTAACAGTTAGTTCTAATAAGTACACATACAAACAGACACCTATTGTTTTACTGTTTTACATATTCAGCTGCAGTACTGTGCAAAAGTCTTGAGCCATTCCTCATTTGTTTGTATTTTGTCTTCAAGGAACCAGACTTTGTTGTATTTAATTATTCTTGAACAACAGGTCTCTAAGCTTTCTGAAGTTTTTCATGGGACACTGGCTGCTTTTTTTTACTTATTTTCAGTACAGTCTTTGTACTTGATCATTTTCTTAGTTAAACTACTTAACACTGACCTATGAATCATTCAACAACTAAAAAAGGTACCTAACTCAAGAGGTGAACTAGTTTTGTGTCTGCACACAACTTACACAACAGACAATTTAGAAAAGAACCAATTTTAATTTCTATATTTAGGGACTTTTTTACAAGCTGCCTGTCACAGTAACAATTCATTTGTTTAGTCGAGTCTACAAAAGATAACACAGTTTGACAGTCGCAAAATAACTACAGCAGAGGAACAGTATCAACAAGTCATGTATTTAAGAAATTAGAAAAAAAAAAGTCCAGCAAAATTACACAAAAAAAATGGACTAAAAAATTAGTGGCAACAGATCTTGTGGAGTGATAAATACAAATTGGACATTTTTGGTTCAAGTCATCATCAATATATATGGAGAAGGTCAAGAGAGAGGTAGAACAGTGAATGTCTACAGACATCTGTAAAACACAGTGTCATGGTTTGGAGCTGCATTTAAGCCAGTGAAAGACCAATATGGGCCAATTTTGATCACAATCTAAAAAGTGTTGTATTTGCAACAACTTCATGTTTAAGCATGCTAATGATCCCAAACACGCTGCCACTGCTGTAAAAGCATACCTGGATAGAAAAACATGCCATGGCCTCTCCAGAACACGGACTTCAACATTACCTAAGCAGTGTGGGATCGTGTTGACTAAGAACAGAACAAAACGCAGCCAAACTCCCAAGAAGAGCTTTGAAATGTCCTTCTAGAACCCTGAAGACTACTTAAAGAAATGACAAGAAAGCTTGCGTAAGAGAGTTGAGACTGTGTTGAAGAATAAAAGTGGTCATGCTAAATACTGACTTTGGTAGACCAAATCTTGTTAGATTATTACAAATGCTGATTATGGTGTATATTTGTGTATATTTGCACATACTTCAATGAATCACTGCACCTATTTCCCATATTTCTTGCAAAATATAACCGAATGAAGGGTGCCTCAAGACTTGCACAGTGCACAGTACTGTATTTAATCAGTGACATGTTATATGTCTTACCAAAGTTACCAAGTGTGTTTTCTTGAGTGTCTACACAGATCTCCAGTGAGGTCACATTAGAGAGGTCTTGTGTGCCACACAGCAATTTCTGTAGGAGGAGAATAAGAAGCTGACCTGGGCAGAAGGGCACTGTCTCTTTACTTTATGTAGTCTGTATCATTCTGTAGCTACGATTAACAAACATGACTTTGATTTGATGTAAAATCTTTGAAGAATTTTTTTTGCCCAATTTCAGTTTCAAACATAATCTTTTTAAGCAAAAATCAAAGAGGATTTTAATTAGTATAAGAGACAACACTAACGAAATTATTTCAGTAAAATAGGCATTATAATACAGGCAAGATGTATATGGTAGATGTTATCCAGATGCTAACATTTACTATTGTCAATTTAGAATTATGCTAAACTAACTAAATGCTTTCACTAGTATATTATATATATAGTATATTATATTCGTATAAACAACATGATAAGAGGTTTATAACGGTGATAAATACTAACTGTATTTAAAGGTACCTACCAACTTCTCCGGGGAGAGATAAAATTCCACTGGTGTTTCAGAGTCCTCACAGGGTTTACTTGCAGGAGTTGGGTTGATGGAGCCTGAACCACTCAGCTCAGTCACCAGGACCCGTGCTGTACCAGACCTGACCCCGTGGGGCACAGACCCATGACAGTAACTCATGCCTCACGCTGTATAAAATAAACAATCATAAAGTTATATTGAAAACACCAAAACGGCTTGTGAAACAAAAGGGAAGCAGTGAGCAGTACCTTCTCTACAGCCAGATATTCTAAGTAGCGCTAAATAAAGCAGCATGTACCCTAGCTACATGCTGGTGTATACGGAAATATAATATTATATCTATAATAAGAATATATATCACCTTTTGCAGAATTTTCCCGTCTGTGTCACTAGATAGTCTATACATTTACATTCAAACCTACAACTGAGGGCTCGCAAGCAAAAGTTTCCTTGGCAACCACAGACGACTTCCTGGATACGGCACAAACTGACCCCAAAGCCGCTGCATGAATTCCATTCAGCGGCTCTGGGGTCAGTTTGTGCAGTTAGACCCAGTTAGACCCGTGGCTCCCTGGGATATGTAGTACACTCCGGTATTTCTTATGGTTGGCACTCATCTAATCTATTATCCAGTAGTTACTGGATAATATTCAGTCGATATTGATGAGATCAATCCAGGACTGATAACGTTTTCTTGTGCCTTTCTTTTTTATTTAAATATTTTTTTGTGTGCACTAGCAGTCTGTTTGGGATCATCAGAATGCTGAAAAATGAAGCGGTTCCCAATCAGACGATTTAGTGGATCAAAATCTAACAGAACCTTTCTACATTCATAATAATAATAATAATAATAATAATAATAATAATAATAATAATAAGTCGTTTCATCTCAACATAAGATCTGTTTCCATTGATTTTCAGCCCAGTTCTTGTGTAATTTGGCATACTCCAACCTCCCCCCCCCCCCCCCCCCCCCCCCCCTGTTTCCCTTCATGACAGCCACTGAGAACATTTCTGATGAAGATTCAGCAAACAGTAGATTGATCAACTGAAGGACAAGATACATCTCTTAGGTCCTGGTCTTTCTTTCTGTTGATTAGCTGTAAATCGTTTTATGCCTGTCACATTTTTTATTGTCCTCCACTGCCCCAGATTGCCCAGATTTTTTTAGGGGCACACTGCACAGTATTAACGATTTTCCAAGTTTTCAGCAAACAGTTCTTTGGGAAACATCAAACACTGCGTTAAACATGTGTTATCTTTGACATTTGTCATACATACAACTAAAGAAAATGATGCTAGTAACAAAGAGACTAAAAATACCAATTTAAATTATGTTTAGACACAACGCTGATTCATGCCTCGAGTGAGGTACATTTCTTATACTTGAATGATTCATACAGTCAGTGTTAGTGAGTGGTTGAACAAAAAAAATATTCCTCAAAAGCATTTGGGTTATGTCTACAACAAGTCCTCAGCCTTGGTCAAGCACATGGACTGAGCTACAAAATGAGTACAAAAAAATCAGTCAGTGTCCAAAGAAAATTGTTGAAACCGTCAGAAAGACTAGAGAACTAAAAACATTAAGAAAGTCTGGATCAGGAGGGGAAAAAAATTACAGAAAGGATCAGAGCACAAGCATAAAACCACAATGAGTGGCCAACTGTTGCACTTGCATGGAATAAAAAAAATCCCAGCACCTGGAACAGAAAAATATGAAGAAAAAAAACATACAGTTAAAAAAAAATCAACAATCCTGAATAAGTAATCTGTGAAATTGAATATGAAAAGGTTAGAAACATTACTACTTGGAGTGGACCAATAACGGTATTTTGTTTCAAAATTACATCCTACTGAGTTGTAACTACTGAAACAAAAAGTGTTACAATCACGCCTGCTCTCCCCTACCACATAATTTCGACATTACCTTTATAACTATCACCGGTTCCCAACCTTGAGTCATCACATAGAAAAACAATCATAATGTCTGGGAAGTTTTGGTGATTTAGTTTATTCGTTTTTAAACTTTGGATATTCTCAACCAAAACACTGCTAGTCATCTGTTTGGGTGGCACTTACTTTTCAGAGTGGCGAAGGGTTATGCTGGGTAGAGATGGATAATAGTAATTTTTTTAAAAAAAAGACAGCGTTCCTGTTTGTCAAACGAATTAACTTGGCATTCATGACTTTCAGGTTTTTGCATGAATTCAGATTTACGTGCCTCTTTAAATACTCGGATTTAGCGCTTAAATGTGTAGATCCAGTGGCCTTCACAGTGGAGTTGCCAAAAATCCGACAGCACAAGAACGCCACGGTAACATGCTTGGTAACCGGGGCGGATCTATGTTTGATAGAGCTGGGCGTGGGCACTACTCTCCTCATCCCCTCCGCTCTCTCTGGGAAGCACATTGTTCAACGCGGGCACATTATAGGACCCAGGACCAATGAATGCCTTGGTGCAGTTTAGCTACTTAAAATTACACCGTTTCTTACAGTGAATAGGACGCAAATACCTGAAGAAACGGGGAAAGAGACTCGGAATATTTTGTGGCTTTTTTCCGATTTCAGCGGAGAAGCAAAACAATTGAAAGATTTTCTTCTTCCTCTCCGGTAGAAACGCCGCTCCTGTCGCCAATAGACCTCTGCCTGTTGTAAGTATACTGTACACATCCTTGCTTACGAAAAATGTCGGTTTTTTCCCCCTCACCGAGAAATATGTCCTCTCTTAAGTGCTTTCAGTTATTTGGGCACCGCTGGAGATTGCGGTCCTTACAGAAAAACAGGTTAGCTAGCTATCATAACATTTTTTAATTCACGCCCGGCGAGCTTGAACATTATCCTGCTTAGAACTCAGCCTTCTTTCTACCCTGCCTACATAGAATGATTTTTCCTCCCAGCCCCTGACTGTTTTAAGCCAATTATATATTTTTTGGTAAGCGGTCTTCCTTGAGTTTGGGTGTTAAAACTTGGTTATAAAGGGATAACATGACCATCCAGGATTTCCCCCCGCTTTACCTTACTTTGAAAGAGAAACCGAAGACATTTGCAAGTGCCATTGCAATAGATGCTAATGTACCTCTGTCTTTTGTATTGTATAAGGAAAAGACTGGAGCAGGCTGTGAGGTTGCTGGTCTCGATAGTGGCGTCAGAGACAACTAGGGTGACGCCCCGTCACAGTGAATAAAAGCTATCACTGCGGAAGTGAGATTCCATTACAAGGCATTCACAAAGATGATCATTTCAAGTCTCGTATCTGATAAAAAAAAATGGCTAGTAAGGTGAAAGGGATTTACAAAGACAGCACCAAACACTCAGCGAATGGCCATAGAAGCTCCTGGACAGTAAACAATTAAATGCACTCAGCATTCAAAGTAGTATCAAACATTTGAATGAGTGCCCTCTTAGGCAATACAACAGAAAGTGTTTCACTCGTGTGTTTTTCTTGGGGCTTTCCGGTACACGGTTTCTTTTTTTAATCCGCCACATCGTCACGTTCGCTGACCACAGCATCTTCTGTGAAAGTCATAATCATGCAAGTGAATGTGCATCAGTCTATATGACTACGAGAAGGAGGCTTTGCAGCGATTCTGTGTGAGTAAATATTGGTGTTGGTGTCTGTAGCGTTTTGGCAAGTCAGCTGGAAAACAGTTGGAGGTGGTCCAGTGATTGAGGTGTGAGGTCAATGTGTCTTCGTTTTTTCCTTTGAAGGTTTTTATGCAGCCAAGCAGTAAGTGTGACTCTAAAAACCAAAATTTTACGAATAACACCGTTCCCTGCTGGGTTTTAGTATTGATGTGTGTGTGTGTGTGTGTGTGTGTGTGTGTGTGTGGGGGGGGGTTGAATGGACATTAGGTGTTTTTATGTGACCCAGAAGATGCTTTCTTTGCTTTCACATTGTTTCATGAACTAAAACATTTCATTGAGATTTACCCAGAGCCCACATTTAGAGTTTTGGGGGTGTTAGGTGTCTAATGATAACCCTTGCAGCTCCTCCAACCGGCAGGCTTTTGTGTGGAGGTCAGCTGCTCTTTTTATCTCTGCTGCTGCCTCCACTGTGTCACCCTGTCCTACAAACTAAAAGGATGACCCAGTAGGGAAAAGGTCACTAGAGGCTAGTGGCTTTCAGAACAGCTAAAAGGCCTCTTTAGATAGTGAAACATTTAGAAATTTGGAAAGAAATGGTTTATTAAAAGAACCAAATTCAGCTTTGTGTTAAATTCTAGAGAAAAGAGTAAATTTTTTTAACTATGTTGTAGTCAGTTTGACCCTCCTACCAACTTCATAAAATCTGAACCAATGTCTTCACGTAATTGTGTTTCACTGGCCTGAGAGAAGAATAGCGCTTCATTCCTAAGCTGGTGGAAAACACTTAGTGTTTTGGATGCTGTTTAGAAGAATGATGTCACTGGAAAGCAGAGGGAGGGTGGTTATCGAGACTTTAGGATGGGTCTCGGAGTCTCCGTATTTGACCGTGACACCTCCCTTGAGAGGGTCTCCTTACCATCATAGCTCCATTAAAAATCTATTATCTCTGCAGTGGGCTTGTGGCTCTGCCAGTATGGAGCCTTTAACCAATTAAGCACTTAAATGGAGACCAGAGTGCATGTTGAGGAAGACGGTCATCCATGTACCTAGCTCCTTGTGTCACGTGTGTTGAGAAGATGAAAAAGATGCAATGAAGTTTGGCTTGGAGGATTTTCATTATGTTTAATATTTTTCACTTTCTTGCTAGACTCTTCTCTTCTGTGTTTGTTATGCCCTTGGTGTATATATAGAGAGCAGTCTTCTCCCTTGCCAATGAACTCTCCTGCTACCATCTGAATTGCTGCTCTTTGCTTGCACCCTCCGTAAGCTGTCATGTAAGATTATCCTTTTGGTCCAGGCGAGGCTCTAGGGTTTCAAAATGGACTGTTAATTTCAGACTGGCGGTGGTGCACTATAAATAACCCTAAACTCAAACATGCTAAATAGTGGCCCTTGATCATATTAGAGAGCTGCTCTACAAAGGTTTTGGGAACTTTGGAATGAGATAGGTGCGGCAGGTGTGACAGCTGTGGCAGATTCATTACTGTTTTTTGTTGAATGACTAACAAAAGTCACCCTGCTGTAGGATAATTACTTTGGTCACATGTACACCGTGTGTAAAAAGGACACAGACAATTGCCACATCATGAATGCAAGTTTTCACATGTGTGCAAATAAAGGTAGCAGAGTTTAACCATACGCTGAGAGCAACTCCACTCGGGATTGCAGAGGAGAAGATGGGGATATATTGTGTTTGATACAGCTATACCCAACATACCCATCTGTGTGTAGAGGAGAGCTCAGACAAAACACTCTTTTGCTTAGTCCCTGAGTGTGGATGAAATTGATGCAAGTACTAATGATTTTGACCTCCAGAGGCTGTGTCCTCGTCTTTCCTCTCTATCTACACAAAGACCCGCTCAGTATGAGCCCCTCCTGACAACAAGTGGCTGTAGAAACGCAGCACTGTCTGTGTCAGTGACTGATTTTGCTATTCATCTCCATATGTATATGAGGATTATTAATCAGCAGCTGACATGGCCTAGTTTGAGAGAAGACGGCTGTCTGCTTTCCCTCCTCTGAACTCCCAGTAGCGATGCATGGATGTGTTGAATTTGCATTTTTTAGGCTGTAAATATCACTGGCTTGGCAGGTGTACACTAGAGATCTGGTTATGTAGAAAAAATGCTGTAACCACGTGTGTTAAATGTTGAAGAACTGTGTATGATGCTGTATTCGATTATGTAGCTATCTTTTTTTGTTTTTGTTTGGCCTAAATTCGTCATACTAATCAGTTCAGCGCACGAGTTATCACTGCCATATTGATGAATATCGGGTAAAAAGGAGGCATTTCATGCATATTTCTGTGTGAATCTCTCATAGGCTTTGGCAACATTTCATTTTTTCGAAAAAATCTCAACCCAGAATGATTTAGCTTCTTTAGTTTTAGTGCTGTGACCCCATCTAGCTCTTTCAGGCTTGAGTTTCCCTACTGGCTAACTGTCCAGGCCGCTACTGCCACAAATAGAATCCAATTCTGTGAAAAACAGTGCTTTTATTGTTAATTGTGAGGCAGCAAGTGAAATTAAGATGCACAAGTGCTCACCAGTGAGGCTTGTGGCATCTGATCAATCTCTGATTAACAATAATGTTTAGATATGACAAAACAGAGCGAATACGTGGAACAGCTGACCAACAGTATGGTTGAGTATTCAGTTTTAGTCATCAAGTGTTTCATCCTGTATGATGGCATATTGGTCATCCTGTCTTTTAGTGAACTGGAATAAGTCATATCAAATCTTTGATCTAAATGACTTGTCTATAGTTGAACATTTTATCTTGTGTCCACACTAAACGTGAAATAACTGCCGATGAGTCTATTATTGTTGATCCTTGCCCTGTCTGGAGTTTCAGCAGCCAAAGGTGTTCCAGCGTCTGCCTGCCCCACACAAGTCTCTGTTCGCCACACAGCTGCTGTTTATTTAGTTAGAGGGGGCTCTAAGGAGCTAGACTGGCTCTGCTACTCCACCAGAGTCTGCAGTCCAGCCAGGCTGATTTATTTACACTGAGGGAAAAGGAAGCTAAATGTTTAACCACAAGTTTGAGGGGTCAGTATAATTCCCTTCCTGTTGTGTTTCAGAGTTATAGCAGCGAGGGTGTTTTGACAAGGAGGTCGTTGTTGGTAATGGTGATGGTGCTCAGAGCTACCTGTTCCATTAAGGTGAAGCAGTGGCTTACGGGATGCAGGAGTGTGTGCGTTTGTGTGCTTGCGTATCATGGTGATTGAATGAGAGCAGTTAAATGACTGTGTCCTCAACTTAGCAAGTCTGGTTGTCTCTCAATCATTAACATTATTGCAGTCTTGGTTAATCTTAGTTTGTCCTAACAGCACAGGCACATACAGCCTCAGACACAAATAACCCAAACAGGACTTTTTTTTTTCTTTCTGAGAATGCAGATTCTATTAATACAACACCACACCCAGAGACAAATATAGAACGTCTGTTATTTTTTTCCTCTCCACAGCTAAATTGACCTTATATGTTTCATTTTCTTTTGAAATTCTGTGTCTTGTCCGGTTATTGAACTGACCACAGGCTGTGTTTATGACAGGCCACCTGTTACTTCTCTCTTTATACTGTTAGAGTTCAAGATTCACCCCAGCTATTGCTTGTACTTTCATTCCTTTGGGAGTCAAAGCACAAGAGACAGGGCGTGAGTGTTTACTGCTCAGGTCAACTGAAGCCCTGATGTTTACACTCTTAAGCGCGCAAGTAGTTTGTGTAGCAGCTATAACAAAGAGTGCATTTTATATGAGGGATGACACACGGCTCCCTGTGGAAGGTAAAAGAGCATATGTGAACTGTGCTGCTCATGAAATCCTGACAGATTGATTATACACTGCAGCAGGTGGTGCAGGTTAATGATTTTCCTCTTCAGGACCATTCAGCAAAGTGAGACACTATTAATGAGCATGTGGAGATGTTTAACCCATATGTGCCCGTCTTTTATGCTAAATGAGACATAGTTTAAACTTTTGAGGAAGAGAGATTTAGGGTTACACTGGGTGTTAAGTAAAGTTAGTGTTAATAGTGAACTGTTTTGTTTAGGAGGACTTATAATATAC